ACATTAACCGTATATCACAAAAATATTCAATGCGTCTTCAGAAAATTTTCAGCTTATACTACAAAAATGCTCAGTGTATATTTATAAATTGTTCATCACTTAAAAAATCAATAAATGTTTGGGATTCTAAAATTTTGTTCATGTGTTCAATAAATTTTCATGTTTTAAAAGTTTGTTCGTATTTCGGAAATTTTCATTTTAAATAATTATTTAAATTGCTAACGTAAAATTGTTCACTTTTTTCAAAAATGTTGACTTTTTATAAAGAAAGGGATCGGTTGTTGTACATTAGCCAGATGCTATCCTATTTGGCTGGTAACACATATACCCAGCGTGAGGTCAGGTTTTTGACTCCATCGCTTGCGCTTTTATCCCATTTTTTTAAAATATGAAGAATTTATTTAATGGTATACTGTGGTATGGTGGGAAAGGGTTGGCGGGAACATATGGCGGGAAGGGGTTGACGGGAAACGGGTGACAGGAACATATGGCGAGAAGGGGTTGGCGGGAAACGGATGGCGGGCCGGAAAGAGTTGATGGGAAAATATTGAGAGGAAGGGGTTGCGTGAAAATATATTTTTTCAGTGTCTAAGATGGACAATGGTTGCACAGTATTTATATACCAAAATTAAAAAAAATCGCTTCGGCCTAACGTAAGCCGAAGAGTGGAGCCATGCAACTTCGGTCAACCATTAACGTGAAAAGGTGGGCCCAAGGGATTTTTCGGCCTACTCCTGATCAAAAAGGACTTTTCGGCCTACTCCTGACCAAAAAGGGCTTTTCGGCCCAGCTATGCACCTTTTCGGCCAAGGCATGGCCGAAAGGTCCATTTCAACCAAAGGGAGGCCGAAAACACCCTTTTCGGCCCATGCGTGGCCGACGGGGTGCTAGTTTTGAGTTTTCTCCACTCTTTGCTATAGTTTCCGAATTTGCTATAAAATACATCATAGTTTTGTAAAAAAAACCGAGTTATTGTCCCCTATTTATATCGAACATTCGTGTACCACAATAACAATTTTCTCACTAAATTATGTTTCTTGTTGACAAGTATTTTGATATACCATATCAATACTATTTTAAGTATAATTAGGAAAATTCAGAATATAAACATGCTCGTGTACTATGTTATAAAATTTTCATACAATTGTGATATTTTTTAGTATAAATATATTTTCTAGTGCTAAGTGACTTGTAATTCTTTGGAAAAAGTATTTTTGTTTAGTTTGGATGGTTAATAAAATATCTTATTGTACTAGTCTAACGAAAGATCTATGTAAACCAATATTATCACTATACTCGACAATTAAATTTATGCTAGTATATTTGTATGTATCTTTATTTTTTCCAGTGCATCCTTAATATCTGCATAAATGGGGAGATTGCTTTATTGTGTATTAAACAAGTAACTTGGTAGATAATCTTGAAATCAATACTAACAAGTTTTGATGTGACTAAATAGACAAATATAGACCTTATGCACTGTCTATCATGCATGACAATTACAAATACAAACTTACGTAAGATGTAGTATTGATCATTTATTTTCATACATGGATTTTTTATGTACAAAACTGGTGTGACTTTCCTAAACCGTGTACCCATATAAATATTATACTGACTTGGCCCTCTCTTAAATTTGCATGAACCAACTTAGTTCGATAAGATTTTAACATTCACCGGCTAATTTGAAAACTATATTTCACGCTAATGTACAAGCATGCACTTTTTAGGGTCCTGCAAACAAGGGGTGGGCATGGGGTATTATTGCCCTATCTAAGGGTCGCCCCTGAGCCTAGCCGCTCGGAGTACCACCTTATGGCGGTGAGTGGAGGAATCTCTTATTGCAGTCTTGGCCTATAACAACAATGCATCTCTAGAAGGATGTGCTAGAGCAAGAAGGGAGGGCAGGTTTCAGGATAATTGAGGATGAGGAGTCCAATCGCATAGTGTCAGGTGAAGCATAGGGGATGTTCTGCAAAAAAATGATTCAAGTGGACACGGAAATGAGAGCGCTGATCTATGTCATGGTTTTCTTTTCGTTAAGGACGGTTCCTGTGATTGTGATGGCGTAATTTTTTCCTAATCGCATAGCAAATAAACCCCTTGTGGGCACAAGAGGAGTAAAACGAAGAATTTTCTCCAAAGATGTATTTTCCCAATTCACTATTCTAAATTATTTAAAAAATAGCATTATGCCAAGTCAAACTACTTTGACCACAGCTGAATGAAAATATGCTGAATATTTCAAACATCAAATTTATATGTCATGATAACATGTTTTACATTAAATCTAATGGAACTAATTTGGTAGCTCGCTCCATGATGTTAGCACCACGGTTGTATGGGCGACGCCAGGAATTTTGTAAAACCTAGGCAAGTTTGAACCTAAAGTGTCCAATTTGAGAATTCAAATTGGGTATTTGTATTTAAAAAGAATCTTGCTACCAGTTTTCCCAGTAGGGATTGCAAGAACCGGTTTTCAAAAAATCTCAGAAATTTTGGATTTCTCACATAAAAGAATTTAAATGGGGTTTGAGTCATCACTAACCCACAGTGGTCATATTTTTTTAAAAACACTACTAACATTAAAATCAAAGTGGCAAGATTGGCAGTCGATCCCATGACTTCGAAAGTACTTCCACCGGACTAGGGGCTATGTTGTGTTACAATATGCATATGAGTTCTATTTGACACTACCTGAACCTGTAGCAGATAAAAATTGGGGTCCAGCAAAATATATCCGGTAACAAGTCGAATTCCAAAATAATTAACCGGTAAAAAAATAATCGTTGGTTCAGATGCATAACATATAAGATATCACTGAAACCCCTAATGACAAAATCTACATTAATAATGAAGTAAAATGATGAACATACTAGTCATACAAATCTATAATACCTAAAGAGTTGATCCCCACTAACTTATTTCTCTCAAAATGCAAGCATGCCACCTCATCATACAATCACGCATGGGAAAAGGCCCACCTAAACATGCAAGCTTGCATGGAAAACAGTCTCCCACATTATGCAGCCATGCATGGAAAAGTGTTTTCCACTTTATTATACAACTTATATTCATTGAATAATTTACAATTATACAATAATCGAATGCAGCAAATCATATATGTACTTTTAGTTTTGGTTCTCATGTTATTAACTCAAATATACATATTCCATACAACAAAATTTTATTAAAATATATTGTAACCTATTCATGTAGCAAATATTTTACAACTATACAACAATCAAATTCTCTGAATTATATGCATTTTTTATTTTGGTTCTCATGTTATTAACTAAAACATTCACATTTCATACAACAAAATCTCATTAAAATATAATGCAAGCAATTCCCGTAGCAACGCGCGGGATATCATCTAGTGTAATTTTAAAAATAAGTACTACTATACAACCTGGATGACCAAGACCCCTCGCTCTAACCTCAACATTAAAACCTTAATAAGTCTATCAATCTACAAATTACTCCCTCCGTCCCACTAATATAAAAAACATTCTTATATTATGGGACAGAGATAGTAGTTAGCAATCTCACGTAATCACAAAAAAGGGAACAAGCACCGCCGGCCGATGATGCAAGCCATGTCCTAGGGCGGGTCCGCTCCGGCTCAGCCCACCGCCGGTCACACACCCAGCCCAGGTGAGCGTCCATTCGCAGCCGGCTTGTCCAGGGTGCCGCCGTTTGCCCATGTGGCTATATGTCCTCACAATCTTTTTTTCTACACATCCAAAACTATGAGATGGCAGCCTCTTAGAAATGACTGACATGGATTGTTGTACTCTGGTAAATTTGTCCCTTTTTTTTACACTTCTGTACTATGGTAACTGATTAAGTGTATAATCTTTTTTTTGACTTGATTAAGTGTAGAATCGAAGAAGAAACAGCCGACATGGTGGTAACTAATTCCTTCTAGGAAAATGTTTAATTTAAACCGGATGATTTCCTGCTTTCATAAGCCGTCTTGTACATGTGCCACGTGCCCCATCAGCCCCACGCTTTTCCTCCCAACCTTATCTCTTCCTGATGCCTTCTCCACTCGTCAGGCTACTCGTCTTCTTCCTTTGCTTTTTCCACCTCCACCTGCTGTTGAAAGCAAAAGACTACTCCGGCCAAATCCATTGAAACTTCGTCGGGATTGCATTGAAGCACCGGCGGCGCTGCAATGGAGCGCGTCCGGGGTCATTGGAGCTCCGCCGCGGTTCCAATGGAGCTTCATCGGAGCTGCAATGGAGCGTGGTCGTAGCTGCGATGGAGCTTCGCCTGGCCTGCAATGGAGCGTTGTTGTGGCTACAATGAAGCTTCGTCGAAGAAGGATTCTTTTTTGTGCTTGGTGTTGCGACAGACATGGCTGCAATGGAGCAGGCCGGTGCTCTCGGAGTGCCGCCCGGCGCTGCAGCGGTCGGTGGCGGCTCTCGCAGATGCGTTGCAGCGCTCGCCGACGGCTCCGGTGCCACGACAGGTGCTGCGTTGCTCTGGTGGAACCGTGAAAGGGGGTCAAAGAAGGAAGACGTGAGGCGGGGCTCTATTACTCGGATCGAACGGCCACCCAGCGATAGATCGGATGGCTACCCAGGCGGATTATTTCGGCTGCCTTCTATCACCAAAGAGAGTTTTCCCGCAATAAATAAATAAAAACAAATCAAAGAGAGCTACTATATATAGGTTAGAAAAAAAGAGCTAGTACTATTACTTGCATATTTTACTGCGGTATATTCCTTGGCCGTTAATTTACAGTATATGGGTAACTAATTCATTTACGTATTTGCATCTTGCTGGCCGGGCGCACAAGAGATCTTTAAAAACGCCTCTTGCCGTGTACAGAGCTCCCACGTCCGCGTCACCCAATCTAAGCCGTCAAATCCTGATCTTACGGAGCAGCACAATGGTCGAGAGGACCTTCTCTCCAGCGCCGTGCCTGACCGAACCGGGCGGCCGCCGGTCGGGGCCTCCGGAGGGCAGCCGCGTTTGCCCGGCCGTACGTCTTACCAGCACTGGTCCGTCTCCCACGTCCGCCGCCGGAACGCCGGTCCGGTCGTCGCCGACGCCTGCCACATCGTCATCCCCGCGGCGCGGCTGGTCACGTCCCGGTCGTACCGCGCGCGCTCGTCGGGATCGGCCAGCGTGACGTAGGCTGCGTGCAGCCGGATGAACCCCTCGTCTCCGCCGCAGCCGGCGACGTCCGGGTGCACCTCCCTCGCCAGGCGCCGGTAAGCGGCCTTGATCTCGCTCCTGCTCGCCCCCGCGCTCACGCCGAGCACATCGTAGTGTGTCCTTCCCGCCGCCAGCGCCGCCGGTGCCGCCATCGTCGCGGACGCCCGTGCAACCACGCACCGCCGAGCGACGGCCACCCGTCCCGGGCGAGCCGACCCCAACACGGCCGTCGTCGATGCAAACGCAGCAGCCATTGATTCTCCGATCTCTGTTCTTGAGTGCTTGATCCAAAGCAGAGTATTTCTTCGTTGCACTGTTGTCCGTCCTCGTTGAGGAAGAGTTGAGACGCAGGTGGATTTATAGGGTATCCAGACCGGGGGTGAGGACGGAGGAGTCTGTGGTGCCACTCGTACGCCCAGCTCTTGATCTTATCTCCATCCAAGACAATAAGATTATGTGTGAGCTCCCGCTGAGTCAGCCAACAGTGCAAGTCGCTTGCCGGCCTCTTGGGACATGTACAATGATTGATAGGACAGTCTTATTTTAAATCTTGCATGTATTTTAAAGATGACAAAAAAGTATGTCTACAATGGGTTATGTCTTAGCCTTATCTTCAATAACTAGCAATTCCTTAAAACATGGTGAGACGAATTATGCTAAAAGATCATCTCTTGTCTTATCTTAAATAAGAGAAGACAAGCCTTTTCTTATGAGTTCTCTCTCCTCCACCTCATCATTTATCCTACGTGTCACTCCTAAGATAGCACCATTGGACATGCCCTTAAACGTTGCTTTCGCGCCACCAGTTGTGGTGCCTGCTTCTCTGACACCAACAAGGTTGAAAGGGACTTGCGTACCGTTCGATCGTGAATCGGCGCGCCAAATACTTTGTACTTGCAGCATCCGAGTCCACATGGCATGATAGGTCATACTCCCTCCATTCCACAATATAGTGCTTCCTCTATCTCCGTGCTTCAATTTTGACCATAAATTTAACTAACAAGAACAATTGCGGCGGGGGCAAAAATTATATTAGTGAATTCGTATTCGAAAGAAGTTTTCAATTATATAATTTTTTCTCCCGCCGCAGTTGGTCTCGTTGGTTAAATTTATGGTCAAAGTTGGACCTCGGAAAGTGCGGGTGCACTATATTTTAGAATGGAAGGAGTATATAAAACTTTAGCTGTGATAGTATTATACTACTCCTACATCGAGTTGAACGACAAATAATTATAGACCAAGATAGTACTACGTTTCTTCATGTGTCTTGATGGTGGTGTTCTATGGCCGCTGCAGGTCAAAATCATAGATCGAGTTTTTTTTTGCACAAATAGATCGAGTTGTGGACACTACTATTTTGTTTCCTTGTGCCAAATTTGAATTTTAAAATCTTCATGACACCATATACATTGGTGTCAAATCATGACATTTTCCTGGACGCCCCACGTGGACTGACCATAGATTTTTTTTTTTCCATTGTTCTGGAAGGTCCCTCCCCGCCGGCTGAGCCAATCGACTGCGTGTTGACAGATGCGTTACATTCATGCATATACAAGTCAGGTGCCTGTGCTTTCAATAATACGATCGACTTGTTTTAACAAAATGTTAGTATGAAACTTTGTTTTTGATTCCCAACTTGCCCTTGCGGCGATGATGGGCTAATCGATCGTGTGGTCACATATTTTTCACTGTTCAGACTATTAGGCACTTATCATTTGGGAAAGTGTTTGTGGTTATCTGAATCCGGTGCATGTCTTCCACTAACTCGTCCGCCTGAAAGTGATATGTGCCGTGATCGATCTCTGAATTTTCCTGTACTCGTTCGTGTTTGCACGTATCTGTTTTCGTTCTGCGTCTAGTCTAGATGACACAGTACCCCCGAATTTTATGACCCGCGTTGGTCTCGTCGTCTTGAATAATTGCTTGGCCTGTTTTTCCTCATGTTCTAGAAGTTTCCAGATGCATGCTAGTAGTGTCTCCGAAGCTACTCGATCGGACGTGTCCAAAGAAGATGCCCTCTTGTGGTCGTACGTGTTATGATGCGCTGCTTATCGCGGACTTGCACCATGTCTAGGCGACAAGAAGCCACTCAGCCATGCGCCCATGCATGCAGCTGGCTGTAGAGCTCGTGATTGACGGCGTTATCAATTGGGTGGGTCGTCGGACACGCGGACGCCGACCGCACCACACACGCCATGGCGACGTCCGACGGGGACGTACGGCCGGGCGGCCTCGTCTGTCTCGGCGCCGCGTACACGTGGGTGGCGGAGCTGGGCCGGAGGGGAGCGGTGGACGTGGACGTGGACGTCGCCGTGAAATGAATAGGGAAATGATATATACATGGAAAAAGTGCTTGCTTGCATGCATTATTGATGCTAATGATATGTGATATCCATCAGGTAGATGACCTGGCACTATCAGTAGTAGTACTAACTCATTTACCAGTGGATAAGCTCTTCACCACCATGAATCATGGCGATGTTTTTTTTCTTATATATTTAGACAACAAGTGTTTCTTTTAGTGAAAGAGGGCCGCCCCCTCCAATTTCGTATTAAAAAAAAATCATATGATCTTTTACAACACTGCCAAACTACACCTACTAATTAAAGACTCCGGGAACCTCCATGAAACCTAACATTCTGGCCGGCCTATGTTTTAGTATTGGTAATATAACCTAAACAAAACATAAATTAAAAAGTAAATATAAATTAAAAATAATCTAAATAAAATATAAAATATAAACTAACCTAAATAAATTAATTATAAACTAACCTAAGGAAAAATGTTAACTGATAGCTGCTTGGTTAGCTGGCGAGTAGGGAAGTAATCGGCTAATCGTATGATTAATCAGCTAATTAATCAATTAGTTGATTGCTTTATCGCTTATTGGTTACTCGTTGGCCATACGAGTGGGGATTACTTGGTATGTTAACTGGTTAATCTGACAAATTCTTGAGTAGGGATCACTTAGGAAGCTGAATAATTTAGCTTATGGGGAGAGGCCACTGTCTAGCTGGCACGATTTCTGTTGATGCATCCTTTAGCTTAATACAAAGGGTAGACTTGTTGTATTTGTGATTACTTTAGCCAATGGATGTATGTCTCTTGAATTTAAAAAAAATGTGAATTAAAAAATACATGTTGTGAAAAATACTCACAAATTTTAAAAACCCTAAATTTTAAAATAATGTTGTTACAGTTTAAAAACTGTTCATGTTTTATTTAAATGTTCGTGAATAAAGTTATGAAAAGTTAAAATAGAAAAAGAAGAAGAAAGAAATAGAAAAGAAGAAAATAGGAAAAGAGAAAAAAATATTTAGACCAACAAAAAATAAAATTTAAAACTAAAAAATGGACAATACCGTCTGGAACCTTCTGAAAACTAGAAACACTGACCAACGCATTTTAGCCACATATAAATGTTCTTTGCTCTCAACCAGGGACACATCCCCTTATAAGCGAGGCTCCCCCGAGGTAGCATGAGCCTTCAAATTGAGAGAGCTTAGTATCTCAATAGATGGATATCATGGCAGTCTTCAAGACATGACCGACATGGATTGTTGTACTCTAGTAATTAATTTCCTGCAGAAACTAGAAGGTAACTAATTCCAACTATTACTAAAGAACTAAGTCCGCGACACTTAATATGGATCGACGAAGTACTATAGTCTCTATTCCTAATGTCTCAGTTGGTAGGTCGCGTTCCGGGTTTAATTTTCGTCTCACCTCATCCGGTCTTTTTTGGTACTTCTTTGGTACTTCTTCCCACCTTTCCCTCAGCCGTGAAAAACCAAGGAAAACCCCGCGATCGAGTCCCGCACACGCCCAAACTCCCGTCGTTATTAACTGAAAGGATCGAAAATAAACCACGGATCCCACCTATCATGGTTTTGTTTCGTCACGGTTTTTTTTCGCTGGTTTTATTTCGTCCCACCTTGCACCCCGCTCCCGCAAACAACTCCTCTCCCCAATAGCCCTCTCGCGCGCTAGGGTTCCTTGAGCCGCCGCCGCACCGGAGCTCCTCGATCAGCCCCACCTCATGCTGCTCCACCCACTGCTTCTCCCTCCGCCCGCGCCGCTCTCTTCCCCGCCGGCACTGCCCACCACGAGCGGGAATGCCCCAGATCGTCTCGAGCAAGTCTGCGGGGCGGCGGATAGATCCGCCATGGCAACATCTCGTCCAGATGGGCCGCGCCGGGAGAGGTAGATCGAGGCAGCGGGCACCGTGTGCGTCTTGTCTCTTGGGACGCTGCTCCGACCCGATCCGGCGAGGAGGCAGCCTCCGTCTGCGGCAACGAGGGCGGCGGCCGGCTGCGCGAGAGGTTGATGCCTTTGTTTCTGTTTCGTGCTGCAGGCCGTCTTCACGGAGCTCTGCAACATGCTGGATCCCGGGAAGCCGGCCTTCACCCCCAAGAAGGGCAAGCCCAGCGTCGTCATGTTCGTCGGATTGCAGGGTCAGTCTCACTGACTAACCTCGGTTACTTGCTCTGTTTTTTGTTCTATGCATATTACTCTGAATTCTACTATGATTGCTTGTAGCTGTATATATGTACCACTCTGTGTGTAGTATTTCTGGACCATCTAGAATAAACTTGATGTTTAAGAATATGTGATGCGCTCATAGGTGTCATGGGAACTGTATGTTTCATGTTTATCCAAATTGTCGTGATAGCCAAGCAAAATTAAATGGTCCAAACCTTGTTGAATTGATGTAAATTTAGGTTATCATTGCATGTAGAATTGCGGTTAGGTTCATCAGTTGCCTTTCACCAATAAAAGTTGAACTTGTTTAGTTTATTGCTGTAATCTTATCCTCTATCTATGTGCTTTACTTCGTTAATTGTGATGGCAAGCAACTATAGCAGTCGGTATTATACACACGGGAGCTCTCAATTCTGTATTGGGATGGATGGCAAGGTAGATACATTGTTTTGTCGATCTGATTGTGCCTCCAAGACGGCATCGTGATGCCCACCGCCGATGGCGCTGCGTCGCGACCAAAGGGGCACCCGTGTACGGCCGGGGACTCACTGCAGTTGAAGCACGCTATCTCGCCACCATGTATGTTGTGTGTTCTTGTGCTGCAGGTCCTTGGGGTTGGGTGTTCTTGTCGCCACCATGTTCATGCAAGCACGAATTGGACTGAGAAATGCTAACAGAGGAGGAGAAGACCATGCAAGTACGTATGTGCCAAAATTGATAGATTTAACTCTAGGTATTGCATTATTTTGCTGCAGTGTAGTAGTACTCTTT